AAAGGCATTTTTTTTTTTTACACTATCTGACAAAGTCAGAGACTCCAAAAAAAATATATAGAGCTCATTAAAATGTGCATATAGTGCAGCGTCTGACACACACCTTTAAATCCCACCACTCAGGAGGCAGAGGCAGGCAGATCTGTGTAAAAGGAGAAGTTTGTGACCCAGGGCCACATTAAAAATAATACACAGTTGTTTCTTTCCACCTTATGAGTTCCAGTTTCTGAAGTCTGAGTTCAACCTGCAGAAATCACGAGTTACAGGTTTATTTTGAACTTGTCTCAACTTTTGTTTCTTGTACCACCCCCAACACACACACCACCTAGTTATCTTCTGACCTCCGCATGTGTGTATTGTGTTGTAACATTTTTTCACATATCTACAAAAATAAATAAGTAAATAAATGGTGTGCATGGTGAGTTCCAGGCCAGCCATAGTTGATAGCGAGGCCCTGTCTCAAGAGAAATAAAACAATAAAACAAAACATGCAGTGTCTGTGCTCCGTGAATAAAGGATAATCACGGGAAATGCTGGGAGTTTATTTTTCTTTACATTTCCTCATCAGACTACTTCTGGGAATGTTGTGCACGAAATTCCCAGGATGTTGCAATTGAGAACTCAGTCAGCAATTACGGAGTCTTCTTACATTACAGAGGCGCTGACATTTTCTCTTTCTTAAACTTTCAAATATTAACGATAACTTTGCTTTTGTTCGTAATACTAGACTGGTGCAGGAAGCTGCAGTTAATAGATGGGACAAGGCTGGAAGGAGTAAATTCGAGGCGAAAGTCACTCTCAAACTCAGATTCGTTCTCTGTACTAAAGGCCATTCTGGGACAAGTTGCTATGCTGGGAGAGGGCCACCCTACTGATGGAGATCTGCGGTCACTGCAGTCTCTCTAGACAGCAGTCCATATCCACGACAACAGGTTCCATCCAGACCTGATCCTGGAACAAAACAGGTCCCAGCAGTCGGTTTTCAGTGATCCCCTCCTGATGACTTTCTCGTCCTGTGCAGCCCCAGGAGCGCGGCTGCGAAAGACTCACCCACCGATCAGAGCCCGAGTCTGGTCGGGTCAGGCAAAGGCCAGGTCCACGCGCTAGGGGAGGGAGCACCACCCACCGCCGCCCGAGCGACCCCAGGTGAGTGGGAGCCGGCAGGGGGCGCTGTGCGAGAGGCAGCCGGGGGGCGGGGTCTGCGAAGCCCCAAGCGAGCTGCAGGAATCAGGCTCCACTTGGGCTGAAGTCCCAGCCGCGGCTTGTCGTCGGGTCCCACGGAGCAGCGGGTGAGTCCCTCGTGTGGTTCGCAGCCTGCTGCTTGCTTGCTCCTCGCCTCCACGGGCCCCGCGAAACTGTGCGGGCCTGGGAGGGTGACTCGAGCTGGATGTGGTGGGTGCTCAGGGCAGCAGCGGGGTGCTTGGGGACCCCGCCAGGAGCAGGGCTCAGGTCTTTGTAGGGTGGTGGTCACAGTTTGCAGTCAGGTTGGGTTCAGATGGTAAGTTTGCCAACTTGGCAAAGTCTCCTCGAGTTTGCATCGCTGATGAATGGCTGTTACCTTGTGTTGTTTGTTTTGGGCTTCTGGTTTCCTACTTAGTGGAATTTTTCACTTTGAGTCCTTGGAAACACTGGTCCTAGTCTTTGGGGATTTGGGTGGGATTCTAGTTTTCTCCAAAGTAGTCCAAGCTTTTAAAAACGTTACTGTGATGAAATAAACTGACTGGAATTTGTAGACATAGACTGTAAGTATGCTTCGAATTTGGTTGTGCTTTTTCAGATTTGGTGGGGAGGTGTCCACATATCGGTATTTAATCACCGGAATTTACTTAGCATTAATTATCAGCCCAACGCTTTAAGAATCAACCCTGTGAAGAACACCATACCCTCTCCCAATAACTGAGTGTGGCAAAGCCAAAATACACTTGAAAGTCCCCAAGATGGGACAGACACTGCAACCCACAATGTACTCCAGTCATTGGGTTTCTTGGATTCGAAACTCCTGGCCGAAAACATGAGTCAGTTGGGCTGTGTCAATATTAAGCAGAAACAGCAAGCCAACCATCCCAGTCCAGCAAAACAGAAATCATATCATAATCTGTGCTTTCCTTTTAATGGGGAATAGTTGGCGGATATTGGGTCAAATCCCGGAGTTCTTGACATCCTCATGTTGCTGTTTCTTGCTGGGATTGCTGGGCATTCTGATGTAACCCTTTCTCCTGTAGAACTTCAGTTACATGTTTACCTAATGTCTAATGGAAGCCAGCATATTTTATTTAACTGATACTTTGCTTTCCTGGTTTCTGGGCACGCTGTCAACAATCACCCTTACTGACATTTTTTTTTTTTTCTCCCCCTTGGCCTTGATTGCTCCTCAGCATGGTACCTTGCAAACAAATGGCTGGGCACCTCTTGGGGCCACTCTGGCTTTCTACCCAGAATCTGTGTAGTGGTTCTCTGTCAGCAAGTGCTGGCAACCTGCTGCATGTCACAGGACTGGGTGTGGAAGAGAGTTCTCATCCAGTTCCTCTGTCTTTTCCCGAGCCACCATCCATCTATACACTCTTGTCCTTTAAGATGCCTGGCATTACCACACAGCTCTTGCTGGAGAGTTTGCCTGTCCTAAACTGAAAGGATTTTGAGAACAGAAGTCTCATTTAACTTTGTATTCTCCGTGTCTGGCATCATTGTTCAGAATGTGTTTAATGAATTAACAGTGAACAGCTAGCTATAGATTTGTATACATCACTCTTTACAACACTGAACCGCCAGAAATAAAATACGCTCTACACTTAGTAAATTGTTTCTTGTGTTTCATGCATGCTACTCTATTCCTAGACACCCCTCCCAAAGTACTATCTTTATAAGATTACCAAACTACATGAAATAATGTTTTTGAAAGACTGCAAGCCCCTCCAGGACAGGCATGAAGTCTCATTATTTTCCCTTGTTAGTATCTATGTGGACTTAGACTTGTAAATAGTTGTTGAATGGCATACACTTTACCCACAATTCTTTCAAATGACAATGGTCAGCACACAACTCAAACTTTAAAGGGCGGGTTGGGTATTAACTACTGTAATTGAGAAACCCCCAGATCTCTCAGGTGTGTTAAGTACTTAAACTCTTGCCACCAGAACTTGTCCTTTTTTCTTTATTGTTTGGTTTTTCTGTGTGGGCTTTCAAATAAAGAAGTCTTCCATCTTATACAGGGTGTGGCACAGTAGTTTTATGCTACCCTACCCTAGCAAAATATTAAGGATATCTCTTCATTCTCTGCTACGTGAAGATTATATCAGAAGAGGACTTACCTTGCCCACTAGACTTGACTGCCATCCTAAGCCACTCAGTGTGATCACAGGAATTAACTCTGGATGGCCAAGCCTGTGTCATTGTCCCACAACCAGAGGAACAATGTTACATGGGCCAATCAAAACAGTCAATACAACTTTATGTGTCATATAAATCCAAAAGATACTTAGAACCAGAAATACTTTGTTGGTTTTTCTAATAGTCACATAAACACAATAAGCTATGTTATGGATAAGATGCAAGTTGGAACAGGAAGCTCATTCCTGCTTCCTATGAACTTCATATGCATAGGTTTGGCCTGTGGATGATTTGTACTCACTGCTAGGTGTGGTGGCCTCTAATCCCAGCACTCAGGAAGCAGAGGCAGGTCACTCTCTCAGTCTGAGGCCTGCTCTACATAGCAAGTTCCAGGCCAGCCAAGGCAGTATACTGAGACCCTATCAAAAAAAAGGTGTGCAATATAATACATTTATTGTACCTGGAATTTCAGTGCATATCCTCGTATGAGGTCATGCCTGGAACTTTCCACTTGTATCACCACGTCAAGACCCCAGTTTGGCACTTTGGAACAACTTTGTGGTTTTCACATGAGGGGTGCTCAACCTATATTCTAGATAGGTAATTCTGGAAAATTTTCCCAAAGCACCTTAACCAAAAAAAAAAAAAAAAATTGGTGTTTGGGAAAGGGAAAGGTAACTCCTCTATTTTTTGTGAAATCCTGAGCTTTAAAACTCGGAAAGTATTCTAAGTATTACAACTCATTCCTAGAAATATTTCTTTCCACTTAATGAAGTCTTACAGGTGGTCCAGACTTCCAAGGTATTTGGAAGTTGTTTTCCACCAACATAACTTATGTGATTAACTTGTTTTTCCTCTTTTGTTTGACAAACTACAGATTGTAGGTGTAATCCTCTAAGAGTGAATTTAGAGCTCACACAAAACAATGAATAATAAGACATCCTGTTATTCCTGAATAAAAAGGGCTAACCCAAGGCTGGGTCGGGCTCTATGAAAGCCCTTAAGGAATAATTTTCTTTGTTTGACTGGCTTATTCTTTATGGAATGGATAAAGAAAGTGGGTCTATCAGTGACTGAGTACAATTCGGCACCACTCTGAAAATAAATGAGCAGCCATGATTTACCAACAGATTTGTGCAAAGGGCACTCTGACCATACAGTCTTTTGGCCCTTGAAGCTTCTGTTCGGTTTCACCTTAATAACCTGTCTCTTCTGCCCACTGCCTTTAGGGCCATTTCAACTTACAGAGCAGTTCATTATTGTTTCGGATTCCATCACCAACCCCAGAAGGCTATGAAACACAAATCTCCTGAAGTTCTGTTTCACAGCCTCCATTGATAGTGTCTTTACTCAAAGCTGAAAACAGATTTCTCATTACATTTTCCTTTAAGGGGAGTGGGCTTTCTTCTGAGAATATGAAGTTAAATCTTCCTGAAGTAAAACATAACAGCTAATCCTTTAAGTTTCATATAGATACGGTTCATTCATTGAACAAACAGTTAACATTAGTGCACTGGTTTGCCACTCTCTAAATGTCCAAACTATTCACTATTGGAATCTTAATTGTATCTGTCTTCTCTCAATCCAAAGTAAATAAATACTTTATATTGTTCCATCAAACAATAGTATCATAAATGGAATAGGCTTTTTTATATTTTCTAGGTGGCATTTTATAGCATTCATGGAGATCAGTAAAGATACTACAAATCAAGCAGAACTTTGGAAAATGAAGCCTGAGAGAAGTCCGGAAGATGACAGTTACTCGGTAAAATAATGACTATAATAGCTAGTAATTAAAATCTATACACACTTCAGTGTACTCTGAATATACTAGTGTTGAGAAAGTGCATTCCATTCTAGTCTGCTGGTCTCTGCACTCGGATGCCTGTGACTAAACCTGGCCAGAGTGAGGGGCAGTGTGGTATAATTGAGTTGACTTGACTAGTTTATCCGGGCATAGCTGAATAACCTTCATTAGGTCCCTGAAAATCCCAGGTCTTGTATTTCTGTACAAAGTGAATGAACTGGGTTAGATCATCTCAGAGCCCTTCCAGTCCTTTCTAACACGTTTAGTTCTAAGTTTAAAAACAAAAGTCACAATGTCCCATATAGCAGTAGTTTTGTAAGCATTTTTATGGGCGCTATGGCAGCTTACAGGACAGACCTCCAAGTAAATGATGACTCACTGTTTAACCAAATAAATTTTCTTCGTGCAAAAAACCACTTGTCCCACTTTGGGTCAACCACAGAATTAAATGTTTCTTACTGCATCATTTGAAAAAATGTCTTAAATCTTTGGTTCCAAAATACTTAACCTTTTTAAAATAGATAAAATGCAATTCTAACAGATTATTTTATTAATTATTCAAAAGGAAAAGGATTAAGAATTACAAACATTTACTCTACAAAAATAACCCTTGTAGAACAAAATCGTTTTCATTTTTCAAGTTAGCTCTCTTACTTGCTGTATCCTAATTTTCACTCTTAACTAGAATATTGTTCTCAGCTAATTCACTTAGGCTATATTAACATGCAGGAGTTCCAGAAGGCCACTTCCTTCCCAAATGGAGTGATTAGAAAGGCATTAATGTCTGACTCAAAGGAAAATTCAGATGGGTTAGAGAGGTCATTCATAAGCACCAGTAATTATGGAGTACTATGTGAATTAAAGTTACTCTGCATACAATGAAATGAGCAAGGTAACCGTGCACGTCATGACAAGCAGCAGAGGGTTCTCCTTTGGCACACATAGAGCTATAAAAATGGGGAGAAAACTAAGGGATAAGAAGCAAGTGATTCATAAACGAACCTGACATGAAACACTCCATGATCTTAATTTGAATTTTTAATTTGTTTATGCTTCTCCCTTGTGAAAATGACAAATTATATAACACCCATTCTTTTGAATTACTTAATACTGGGAAAAAATGGTGGGCAGAAAAGCATAACTTGCCAGGAAGCAGATTGTGTCTTCAGGAGTTAACTAGTAAATAGCTTTTTCTTTTTAAATTTCTGATTATATATTCATCTATCACTACTTAGACAAACGACTGTTTTAGAAATATAAAATCAAAGTGCAAGACTGCATAATGAAATTCATATTTCCCCCTACAATAATGACACTATTATTCCTGCCAGTCTCATTCCCACCACCACTACATAATGAAATTCATATTTTTCTTTGCTAGTAATGGCCCTATTATCCCTGATTCTTTTCATCTGAATTAATAAATTCACCGTCACTGCCCTTCATAGTTAATTGTCCAGGGACCAATAGAGACATTACAGAACACCTAATATGAAATGCAAGTTTGCTGGTTTTGCCAAAGAATACTGGACCAAAAAACAAACAAACAAAAAAACCACTTTTTTTCTTTATTTGACTTCTTAACATTATTCCACTATTTCAAATCTTCAAAAGAGACATGGCTATCTAAGCTTGATTATGAGTGCACCATGTATCTATTGTTTTAAAGAGAGGTGGACTCCAGTTTGGGTAGCAACACTTGCCCAGAACCTTTCCGATAGGTTCCGTTATAAAGGGAGTAGCCAGGGCTGCATGAGACCCTGCCTCAAACACAAAGAGGGAAACAAATAGATAAATGGAGAATTCTAGTGTATCCAGATGCAACTTTGGTCGGTCATACCTAGACTATCCTGTCCTTAGTTGACAGGTATCCACAAGTGAGTTTCTGAATGCCTTTTTTAACTGAGAAGAGCAATGATGGAGTGGGAAGTTATTAGAGTAAAAGAAATCCATTGCTTTGTTCTGTGTTAAGATGTTCCCTTCCTTTCCCTTGTAGACTGAGGACACGGGAGATACCAGAATGCTGAAAAGGCCCGTGCTCTTGCATTTGCAACACACCATCCATGTTGATGCATTTGAATGCCCCTCTGAGCTTCAGCACACCCAGGAATTCTTCCCCTCTCTGGCGCTTGCCGATTAGAACCGCCGCCATTATATCCTCTCTGACCTTCCTGTACACTGTCCTGAGGGAAATCGTTTACCCTTTGGTAACTTCCCGTGAACAGTATTTTTATAGAATTCCGATCCTGGTCATTAACAAAGTCTTGCCAGTGGTCTCCATCACCCTCTTGGCGTTGGTTTATTTGCCAGGAGTGATAGCAGCAGTCGTACAACTTCTCAATGGAACCAAGTACAAGAAATTCCCGCCATGGCTGGACAGATGGATGCTGGCAAGGAAGCAGTTCGGGCTTCTCAGCTTCTTTTTTGCGGTGCTGCACGCGGTGTATAGTCTGTCTTACCCAATGAGGCGGTCCTACAGATACAAGCTGCTCAACTGGGCATACAAACAGGTAGGGAGGTGATACTCGCCAGATGAATAATCCAAAGGGTCCAAATGACTTACCAAACTGGCACATCTTGTTCTAGTAACAGCAGTACCCCCAGTATTCCTCATCTTATGCCAAGGAATATTTTTAAACTGGAAGTAAAGAACAGCTTTAACCCACAGATGCTTTACATGGACAGTCATGCTTCAGTCTTGGCATCCTGACATTGTGACTTATTTACCAGAGTTTGCATGGACTTCACAGTTCTGTCAGAGTAAGCCATCAAATAAGTTCACCTATCTGTAAGTATGGTTACATTCCTCTTCTTCCTAGGTTCAACAGAACAAAGAGGATGCCTGGATAGAACATGATGTTTGGAGAATGGAGATTTATGTGTCCCTGGGGATCGTGGGACTCGCCATCCTGGCTCTCTTGGCTGTGACATCTATCCCATCTGTGAGTGACTCTTTAACATGGAGAGAATTCCACTATATTCAGGTCAGTGATGTGCAAAAGATAACACCAGTCTGCTTACAATGTTAAATGTATTGATTTGTTCCATAAAAATTATGTTTTCCAGGAGTAAACACCCTCATACTGTTTAATAATTTCTTCTTACTGTTTTTCTATTGCTTCTCTAAATTATAAGGTGCATTTTGCAGACATAAATAAGAGACATTACTAAAACCAAATATTGTTTCTCACACTTAAAACTTTTTAGATAGCTTGCTGCTCCCATCCAGTAACTATAAATATGAAATTTTAGGAATATCAATGGTTTACTAGCCCCTCTATAAAAACTTTATTTTTTCTAGTCATGACTTTGATGTTATGTTTTATTGACTGAAGGTATTCTGATATCTAGTTTTTTTTTCTTATATAGAGTCTCACATTTACACCCCAAGCTAGCCTGGAATTTATTATGTAGCCCAGCATAGCCTGAAACTTAAGGCAGTCATCCTATATTGGCTCCCAAGTACTGGAATTATAGGCATGAGCCACCATACCTGGTTCTGTTGTCTAATATTTCAAGATGCCTTTTCTAAGTTACAATTAAATTAGTTTAATCACTTGAACTCTCAAAGTGTCTGGAATTCAGAATCCTGTCATAAACTCACATATCTTCTAGGTAGGAGTCCACACTTAAAAAGAACAATGGACCAAAGAGCTCAAATGGAACAAAGGCCAAGGAGCTCACCTTAATTCAGTCATAAGTAACTGCCAAAACATTTTGAAGTCGTAGTCTTAACTTTTATGGGTAGGTAGTTTGGGGAATTTCCACACAGTCTCTTCTGCATCTCTGAGAGACAGAGGGGCACTCTGATAAGGCTTCAAAGTTTCTTTTACCCCAGCATGCCTTAGACTCCATACCACATTCTCCCAGAAAAGTATTTTCTGATTTTTGTGTTTGGCCGGTGGCCATTGAAGTCCCATCTCCCTCCTGAAATTCTTACTTACTTTGCTTTTCTGTCACATGTACACTTTTCCATATTAATCTGAATCTGGGCACTGCACCTTGACAAATCCACCATGATGTCTGTGCACTACATGACCTGTAAGAAGATAACACCTGTTTCGGAAAGTTAATCTTCACACAATCAAGAGCATCTTTCTGTCACAAACTCAGAAACTTCACCTGGAGTGAGAATTGGTAACACCACAATTTTACCTCCACAGTTCATATCCTAAAAATAAAAACCTAGCTGTTTAATTGAGGCATAAGATTACAGCTGAATAATTGAGATGTATTCATTTTTGTCAGGCTAATGACCATTTCCAATAAGAGAGGTCTAGAAGAATCTTGTCAGAATGCCTTAAAAGTATGTCGGTGGACAACTCTGAATAGCTTTCTCTCTGTTTAATGTCAGAGTGTTTCAACAAGTTGAAATTGTTCTTCATATCTTCTGGATTTGGTTTGTTCAAACACTGAAATTATTCCCAGTGTTTCTTCCATGTTATCAGAATACATGATGTTTTAGAAACATACATCTCCATGGAGTTCAAGGACAACTTAATCTACATAGTGAATTTTAGACTAGTGAGAACTACATAGTGAGGCTCTGCCTCAAATGTGTGTGTGTGTGTGTGTGTGTGTGTGTGTGTGTACACTGACAACAAACACTGAAGAGGCTGTGAGAAAATGGAAACCCTCAGTCACTGTTGATGGGATTACAAACTGGTTCTGCCACTCTGGATATAAAAATGGAGAATTCTCAAAAAAAAAAAAAAAAAAAAGAGCCAAATAAAAATAACACTAGCACTTGCCCCAGCTGAACACACCTTGTCATATGCAAAAAAGATTCAACTTTCTCCTCCACAGATGCATGCCCAGCCAACTTCTTCTCATGTCTGTTTTGAAGTACTTGTAGGCACATCTTTCTTGAATCCGAACATCTTTAATCCCAGCTCTCTGGAGACAGAGGCAGGCAGATTCCAATGAGTCCCTAGCCAGCCTGGTCTACACAGTGAGTAACAGAATAGCCAGTGACACACTTTGAGACCATCTCAATTTATTTTTCTTTTGGTTAAAAATAAAAAAGTTCCTGTGTCAGTTCTCTTCTGCTGGCACTCAGACAAAGGAGAAAGCATCTTTACCAGCACCCATTTCTGAGATGACTAAACAAATATTTTAACTGGCCACACATTTGCCTTACTACTTTTTCTAGCATCATCTAGAATGTACAATTTGTGATGTCAATAGACCTCTCTAAGGTTGATAGACCAATGATTTTATCTCTTTTTTTTTTAAGCATAGGTCATCAGGAAAAAATATATTTTAAAAAGTGGTAGATTTAGGAGGCTCATATAAAATATCAGGATGACATTATTCTATATGAAGGGAGAAATCTATAACAGCTTCTTCTATCTCCTTTACTAAAACCTTTTGCTTGGCATTAAAAAATGATTCATTGGCAAAATGTACACACACACCACATAAAGTCCATTTTCATATTATTTTACAAAATTAAAATAACATAAGTTGATAAAGGTCACTGAAGTCAGAATGATCTTTTCTATTGTATTCTTTAATCAGTTCATTAATATTCATTGAACACTTAGCATGTTCAAATCATCGTGTTGTTTTCTGCCAGGACCCTGCTATAATATAGTCTGTAATTTTAGATATTGCCTGATAGGCAAAGTTAAAAAAAGTCAACAAGACAAAACATCATATGCAAATGTCATAATGAGCTCGGGGATATTGGTCAGTGGTCAAGTGCTTAGCTAGCATGCACATGGCCCTAGTTTTGATTCCCATCACCACCAATAAAACAGAAGCATCTTAAGAAAGACATCTTAAACAGAATGGCAGAGAAGGCACAGATACTAAAAGAAAGTTAATGACTTTTCAACTTACCTTAGAAACAAGAACAGCTGCCAAAAAGTTATATGATGAGGACAACATATAAAAAGAATAGAAAGGTATGAATGGATCTTGTTGAAAAACATGTTGGGCAGTGGTGGTGCCCACCTTTAATCCCAGCACTCAAGAGGCAGAGGCAGGCAGATCTCTGTGAGACCAGCCTAGTCTACAAAAGCTAATTCCAGGACAGCCTCCAAAGCTAAAGAGAAACTGTCTCAAGAAGCCAAAAGAAAAAAAAACAAAGAAAGCAAGGAAGGAAGGGATGAAGGAAGGAAGAGAAGAGAAGAAAATAAAATTATGTTGGGAAAATAACTATAGATGGATGAAAGGATTTCCAACCAACAGAACAAGTCCCAGCAGGGTAGGGTGGACCTGACTATTACTGAATCAACCTTTGTCATAATGATTTTTTTCCCCTTTTGCAGAGCAAACTGGGAATTGTCTCTCTTCTTCTGGGCACAGTACATGCTTTGATTTTTGCCTGGAATAAATGGGTAGATATCAGTCAGTTTGTCTGGTACATGCCTCCAACTTTTATGATAGCTGTTTTCCTTCCAACTGTTGTCCTGATATGCAAAGTTGTGCTCTCCTTGCCCTGCTTGAGGAAGAAGATACTGAAGATTAGATGTGGTTGGGAAGATTCCAGCAAAGTAAGCAGAACGGAGATGGCCTCCAGGCTGTAGAATTACTCAATATTGATGGTTTATTATAAACATCTCAAGTTTGTGTTTGTTAATAAAATGAATACTTCAGGGTCATGTTTTGGTTTGTATTACAACTATTTATTTACTTGGTCTTTGTGTGAGCACATGAGAGCTGCAGCATACATGTGGTGATCAGCAGGACAAACTGTGGCAGTCAATTCTCTTCTTACACACATAAGGCCAGGACTCGAACCCATGCCATCAGGCTTGTCAGCAAGCACTTTCACCTGTTGATCCACCTCACTCTCATGGGCCCTACTTCAGTATTCTTTTATCTGTGCATGGGTGATACATTTGGAATTGCTATATTTTCTGACAGAATTAATTCAAAGTAGCTAGAACCAGTCTTTAGCATATTCTCTCTGTGGTATGGCTAAGCATAACTAAACTATCAGGCTTGTCAGAATACATACATTAAAAAAAAAAAACCTTGAAATATCAGTTTTTACCATCTGTTTTCAGATTTATTTTGTTATGTGTATGAGTGTTTTCTTATATGCATATGTGTGTACATGCCTTGTGTCCTCAGAGGCCAGAAAAGCAAGTTGGATTCCCTAGAATTGGAGTTAAGAGTTAGCTGTTAGCCACAGTGTTAATACTCAGAACTGAACCCAAATCTTCTGCAAGAGCAAATGTTTTAACTGCTAAGCTATATCCAACAATTTGGTATTTTGATGGTTACATATTTATGGAATGCAGAAGAATATTCTAGTACATGTAGACAATAATAATGGTCAAATCAGGGCAGTTAGCATGTAATAGTTGTATATTTCTATGATATATAGCATGATTATTGTTAAAGAACTTTATTCTGATGTAGTCAGGTTTTATTCATGAAATACTTGACTTAACAAGATACATCTGTCTACAGAAATAGAGCAACAAAGTTAATATCATATACACATCCAAGCCATGCAAAATGCCATCATACAGGAGGAAAAGTAAATTCCTTAAGTTGCAAACAAGTCAGTAGAACTTATATACTTTGGCAAAAAAAAGTACTCCAGGAGTGAGTTCCTGAAGAGCAGAGTGATCAGCTCTAAGTCTTCCTAACACAACTCAACACTCCAAGACTTTTAGAATTAGAAAATGTCATCAGCGTTATCTTTTATACCCATTTATTAGGATTATAGACAACAGAGTGAAAATTAGAAAGTAAAAAAAAAAAAAATCCTAGTACATTCCTTAGCTAGATTATGGGTTTCTTTTAAATATTTTGTTCTTTTACAAAGATTGTTTTCTTTTGTGACAGAAAGTGAGTAAGAAGCCTCCTACATATAAATCTCAATTCAGTGAATGTGAGCTCCAAAATTCATTACGCATGTTTGTGGGTATAAACATTGAATCATCACTGATGTGACCTTGGCAATGATTCATCACTATTGTGACCTTGGGCAATGATTCATCACTGGAGGAAAGAGATCTGAGGGGACTAGAATTACAATCAGATTCAGCAAGTTGTAAATATGGGACCATTTATCCATGTGTGGCATATGTCCCATCAGAGTCAACCAGCCATGGTTGCTGGTACCTGCAGCCCCATGGGCACAGCAACATGTCATGGCCCTTAGCACCAAGAAGCTTAAAAGAATAGGTCTTACCGTGTAGACCAGGCTGTCTTTAAATTCACGGAGTTCACCTGCCTTTTCCTCTCAAGTACTTGGATTAAAGGCTAATGCCACCATACCAGCTCAGAAATTCTCCTGACAGGAAAATGGGAGGCTACAACAGCCTCAGATTTAGTTGTGAAGCATAGCACATCTACATTCCATTTGTAACTCTTCCAAGCCTTTTTGCAGTGGTTAAGCAGTATTGTTGCAAGCAAAAGAAGCAGTAAAAGTCTTTTAAAACAGTATTGGTGAGCCGACTCTGAGAATATGAGCTTCAGAGTTCTGGCCCCACACCTTATCTGCAATAGGGTGGTGTGGGTGAGGGAGATATTTCCCCCGGCCCTTTTAACCTTTTACCGGTGTGTGTAGGGGGGGACTGTCCCTGAGGTTCTGAGAGCACCAGAGCTATCCCTGCCCCTCACTGACTATAGCCTTGCCTGGCAGCACTGTAGAGTTTTACCCTTTTGGTGGGGGATGAGGGAATGAGGGGAAGAGGAGGGAGGGTTTTGAGCTGGCCCCAAGGGCATGACTGTGAAAAAGCTGGCCCCACTACTGTCTGTCATGCAGCGGTGTGGGTGACGGAGATTTGTTTCACCTCTTGCCAAGTATAGCAAGTAGGAGAGCTGGCCCCTGGGTCATGAGAGTAGAAGAGCTGACCCTGCTCCTCACCAGCTGCATCACTTCGGAGAGTGGCCCCTGCACCTCACCTGGGCAACACAGTAGAGCTGGCCCTGGTGGTATGTATAGGCCAGGCTGCCCTGAGGGTAAGGGTGTGAAAGCAGGAACCAACCCTACCCCTTGCTCTTGCTACCTAGGGTGAACCAGCCTGGGCAATGCTGGAGAGCTCACCCTGATAGTGAGGATTGGGGAGAGCTGGTTGGTTGACCAATCCTGCAACTGCCCAGGACCAGAACCAGAGCTGAGTTGACCTACCCCACATCCACTCCATCTGTGATCTGCTGGAGCACTTGAAGGGACTGGCAGATAGAAGGTTCCTGGACCTTGATGGCCACTTAAACTAGCAAAACCCACAAGCTCCAGGTTCAGTGAGAATCCCTGTCTCAAAAAACAAAATGGAAAGACACCACACACACACACACACACACACACACACACACACACACACACACAATTGTTTTCCAGTGAAAGAAGACATTATATCTTGGTGTAGTCTTGAGTTTCCCTTTCCCCAATAAGCATTCACATAACACTTTACATATAGCAAGCCAGGGGCAGTAAAGGACGTACAAGATAGAAAAGACCAAATTCCTACTAAATCTCAGAAGGCCAACCACTCAGTTTTAAGAGATCACTGAATTCTGAGTGTACTGTTAACACTAGGGGAGGAATGAGTATTTAGAAAGGCTGAGTCATGATGCTGTGAAGTTAATTCAGAAAACAAGGAACTACTTGAGCTAGATGCTGAAGTATAAGAAGGAGGACATCAGGTAGAATGGGATGCCATTGATAGATTAGAAAGTCTACTTCAGACCCACTGGAACAACGTACCCACAAGCTAAACACTGAGCCAAACTCCTGGAATCCAGTTACAGAGAGGGAGGAGTGAGGAGCAAAGGGGTCAAGACCAGGTTAGAGAAACCCACAGAAACAGCTGACCTGAACAAGGAGGAGCTCATGCACCTCAGTCTGATAGCTGGGAGACCAGCATAGGACCAACCCAGGCCCCCTGGATGTGGGTGTCAGTTAGGAGGACTGGGCAGTCTATGGGGGCCTCTGGTAGTGGAACAGTATTTATCCCTAGTGTACGAATGGACTTCAGGAGCCCATTCCACATAGAAGGATACTCCCTCAGACTAGACACATGGGGGAGGGCCTAGGCCCAGTCCCAAGTGATATGACAGACTTTGAAGGCTCTGCATGGAAGGTCTCACACTTTGTTTCAAATTTAAATTTAAAAGTGGGAAAAAAGGAAAGAAATAACACTTTAGACAGAGACAAAGGCCACATTGGTTACCAAGATCATTTTATGACATGAAGCTGCCTGAATTGCTGTCTGAACCTAAATTCTTCTGGCACTCAGGAAACCACTGAAAAGTTATAAGCAGGGGCTTAGCACCTTTGGAATTGCATTTTAGAAAGATCTGGACAGTACCAGGTGACCCTAGGTACACTAGTTATTTCTCCCATTGTTATAACCACACACCTGACAAAAAGAAACTTGGGAGAGGAAGTGTCACCGTTTTAGGTGGCTCTTGACAAGCTTAGCTTGTGGGGCTAGGGCCACCAACGCCAACCTAAGGTAGTAGATTTGGGGTTCTTTTTTTCCTCCTTGGGTTCTTATGGAAACTCAATAAGATGTGTGACTCATAGATGTTGTCTTTGAAATAACTTTATTACATGGAGCTTAAAAGAAGAAAAGACAGCCAGCTCCTTTGTAGCTGGAAGGATCCCCAGAGTGGGTACCATTGATGTTACTGTCTTGGAGTTAATAAGGCTTTGCTAGGAGGAGGAAAGGAACAGTTGGAATGAGCTGGTCAGACCAGTTTCTATTCCAGGTATCCAGGCCATGTAGTTTTGATCACATTCTCTGTGTGGTTTCCAGGAGAGGGGGAAATAGAGAGGCAGACCAGACCCCTAGCCCCTCTCTGGCATCCCTGAGGCCAGGAAAAAGCAGACAGTTTGACCAGCATTCCTAGCATCTCTGGCCTCAGGCAAGGATGAGACCATCAGACCTAAGGGCATTCCTGACATTTTTAGTCAAAAAAGAACTGGTAACTTTTAGGAGTCTATGTATGCCTGGGTAATGGGGTGACCATGAGCCCAGACTCACCTCAGTACTCTAAGAAACTTCTATCCTATTCAAGAGGTGTCAACCAAGGCCTATTCCTCTTTAAATAATCACTCAGGAGGATCTTATCATTTCCAGGAGGATGACTAAAACCTGTTAAAATGATGTCTTTACTGTTTTATTGACACATTTAACACCATTTTAGGATAATACAAAAGAAATGTATGATCCTGGCATGACTCTGGTCATAGAAAACCATGCCTGAAAGAACATGTAAGAAGCAATGGCCCAATGACATGGGATCTGTGATCTGTGAAATTAACATACAAGTTAATTTAAAAAAATCTGTTTTCTGGGTTTTGTTTGGTTTTGATTTTGATTTTTTGACAGTCTTATAAACCAGGCTGGCCCTACACTCCATAGCCTCAAAGTTCTGCTCCTCCCGGCTCTGTCTCAAGATACTGTGACTGCAAGTCTATGATTCCACACCAGGTTTATTCTGTGCTGGGGCTCCAACCCTCGGCTTCATAATGCCAGGCTTGTGCTCCACAAACCGCTACCTCCCTTTAGTATACCAACTCTTAGAATTTTCTTCCAAAAACCTTGTAAATTGCAAAAGCTCCTTTTTGCTAAAACCTGCCTTCAAAGCAAAGGTGTTAGAAAACCTCCAGTGTAGATTTAGTGTTGTTGTACTC